TAAAATTATACTCTTTTGTCTGCCTATCAGAGATCTATTACTGGAAAATGTTCATAAGTTTTCATTTTAATTTAAACAAATCAATCTCTAAACAAAACTAAATAACTGAATTCTCATTTCTCGAGAATTTTAGAATAATCTGTAAATGTAAAGTGAGTGTATGTATGTACATGTATATGAATTTTGTACAAAGAAATTCTGTTTACACTTTTGTAGGAGGATTCTGCTCTGACAGAGGTTGAAGAATACTGTTCGCAGTATTATGAGGTCGTCCTCCTCTGCGCCCTCTACTTTTTTTATTCTGACTTATACCAGACTTTTGTAATAAATTTTCTTGTTTTGATACTTGTCCCTCAAGCGAAGAACCCGTTGGTGTTGCATCTAGTGACTAATAGAAGGAAATAAATGCATACACTTAGCATACAAAAATATAGTTCATTTTGTGAATATAATATATATTTATTAATAACGTACCTGCATTACGAAGGAAGAACCTTGACGATTTTGAGATTTATTTGGTTTATTAGACCTACTTATTTGTGTAGTGATAGTATTTGAATATGGAATAAGTTTTAAAACATTGCCAACTGCTTTTGTACGCCCCTCTCTAAATACCATTCTTTGTCCTGGTTTTATATATTCAGGATGTTTTATAAATCTAAAGCGTACTAAAGCTTTATCACCGGTTCTTAGGCAATCTTGTGACATAGAAATTATAGATGCTGTTTGTCTTATGCTTCCACAGTGCACTGAAAATTATTTGATGTAGCTCAAAATATCAAAATAAAGTGGAAATGAAAGCTAGGAAGAGAAACGAAAGATACCCATTGCTTGATAACAAGAACTAATTGTTGTTGGATGATGTAATACAAGAATTTCTCCTTCAAATTCCCAGCAAGCTTGTGGATTCAATGCTGGTGCTACCATCACCATACCTTTTCGAATTTGTGACCTTTTGATCTTTTTTAATGCAAAACTTGCAGTTTGACCACCTCTCACTTCACGAACAGGCATTCTCTTTCTATGAATACTTTTTACAGCAATCGGAATGAAACGACCTAGAGGATCAGGACCCAGCAGTAATATATCATTTAATCTTATAACACCTTTTAAAGTTGTCCCAGAAACCACAGTACCAACGCCCTATAAAGATATCAAAATGAAAATATGATTATTTTAATAAGAGTGTTGCAACTAATTTTTAAAGTCAAATATACAATATAACACTTACTGGTACTGAATATGTATCATCTATTTGAAACTCTGCTGGTTCATCGTCATGACTAGTTATTCTTGCAGTTAGTAAATTCAGAAACATTTTAAGAAGAGTTAAGTTTTCACCTGTTACATTTGACACTTGAAAAATAGGGCACAACCTATATAAATGTATTAATAGTTAAAGTAATTTTAACATTATGAGAAACGAAAAGCGAAACCAGAAGCTCACCGTTCTGATACAAAATTAGTGGCGCTAACAACAACATCATCAGATGTCTTAACGGTAACCGGCACCTTCCTACAGCCTGGCGATTTTAAGATTCTTATTAGCAATCTTAAATTTTCTTGCAATATGTTTGGTGGACACATATCAATTTTAGTAACCACAACAAATACTGGTACTGATAATGCTAAAGCTAATCCTAAATGCTCTTTTGTCATTCCAACAATACCAGCATTTGCTCCGACCATTAACATACCTAAATATATTTATAATACTTTTATGTAAAAAATGTGGATATACAAGAGTGAACATCACGCAATGATTAAATAGTATTACCAAAATCGGGTGCATGTCCTGTCATTCCGAAAACAGTAGTTTTTAAGTATCTTTCATGTCCAGCAAGATCAATAAATGTAATAACCTTAGAAGACTTTTCACATATTTTCACCCAATCTAAAGATCCATGTTCCGGCTTATTTACTACATTACCTGAATATACAATTTGACATGTGCACATAATTTTATAAAAGCTATTAAAATATTAAATATATGAATACCATACCGACACTATCAAATCCAAGAATGTCATTTCCAACTGAACTTGTACGTCCTGTTTCAGCCTCGTGTTTATGACGAAATAATTTTTGACGGGCCAAACCTCTACCATTATCAAGTTCTCCATGCGTTAGTACACCTAAAAGTGTTGACTTTCCAGCATCTACGTTACCAACAACAGCCACCCTAAATTTAAACTCTGTTATATTAATTCTTTTTATGTATCTATAGATAGATTTTGTGATTGGTTGCTCATATCATTTTTATAAAATTAAATAAAGTTAATCAAGAGAATCAATATAATTTAAAAAAAAATATTTCACATAATATTGTGAATTTAGAATTTTAATGACTGTTTATTAGAAGACCAATTATAGAGATTTCTTGTCATTTATATTACTCCAAAAGGTAGTAACCTAATTTCTAGGAAATCCTGTCTGTCTAAACGTCTTCGTACTAAATATTGTCCTACAAGACCTTGATCTACTTTACTTTGACGTAAAAGCACACAGTCTGCTTCTAGCGTAGCTGCAAGAGATTGCAAGGTGGCAACAGATGCTTCATACTCATCCTCCTTTAAACCATCCTCTGAACCATCTAAAATATCATTTATATAATGATTGTTTTTGTAAGCATTTTTAAATATGAGCTACGATATGTATATACAAACCTTCACCAATACCAATATCAAAAATTGTTTCACTACCACCATCTTGAATTCTTTCTTTCAAACGCCTAAGTAGTAATTCGTACTGATCTTCCGATGGACTAACTAAGACATTCTAATATTCGTTACAAATTAATATGGTTATAAGTAATATAATAGATTAAAATTATGATAGATTAAAGAACTATACCTTTCCTCTTATGTTAGAATAATCCACATTAGATACAGATACATGATCTTTTTCATGTAATTGTTTCATAGCTGATGTAATAACAGTTCCATTTCCTGCCATAACTTATATTTATTGTTAAATATATTTTAATAGGTCAAAGAATTTTTCCTATCAATTCTATACAATTATGTGTATAAAAGTTCTTTATAGACACATTAGTGTTATAAACATTTTCCAATATTTGAATCCAAATTTTCTTCTATAAATTTCTGANAAATATATTTTAATAGGTCAAAGAATTTTTCCTATCAATTCTATACAATTATGTGTATAAAAGTTCTTTATAGACACATTAGTGTTATAAACATTTTCCAATATTTGAATCCAAATTTTCTTCTATAAATTTCTGA